AAAATAATCATAAAACAGCAAAGTCAGTTTTTAAATTTAAAATATTCAAAATACTTTGTATTACTTATCTAGGTCAAATAGCCAGTTAAAGTCAATGTAATCTGGTTGTTTTTTAGAAATACATTATTTTACACACTGCAGTATATACAGTAAAGGTTATATTTTTTACAATGTTGTAATAATTTTAAGGGGGTTTTGTGGGCAGCACAATGGCATAGTGGTTAATGTTGCTACCTTCAAGTGCTGGGAGTCTGGGTTCAGCCTCTGACCTGGTGTGCTGTAGGTGTTGCGTTTGTATGTTTGCTCTGCTTTTGCATGAGCAAAAATCATACTGATAGGTTAATTGGCTTCTGGGAAAACTGGCCCTAGGTGTGAGTGTGTGGCTTTGGGATGGAATGACCCCGTCCAATGTATCCCATTGTGCCTGTTGCTTACTGGGATCTCCATCTCCCCTATGACTCTGAATTGGAACAAATTGTCAGAATATAAATGGATGAAAAAAACACAACTCACAGAAAAAATGAATACAATAAGCAAAGATTTTTCATAAGTGTTAAAGATTTTCTCAAGAAATTAAATTCATAAGGAGTTATTTAAGTAATATTAGTTTTGATTTGATTTTCAGCTATAATGTAAAAAGCTAAAATGGACAACGATTTTAGACCACGATGTCCAGACTACAAACATGAGGCTAAAGTGAGAACCAACCAATGTTACACATCCATCATGACAGTATAATGCAATTGTATTATTCCATTCCAGGCACAGGCTCAACAGACAGAGAGGCAGATGAAGGAAGTGTTTGAGAGACAGTCAGATGATGAAGGAGAAGATTGAGAGCCTTATAAGAGAGATCTCATCCCTTTCAGACACAATCAGAACCATAGAACAGGAGATGGAAGCCAAAGCCAATTCATTCCTACAGGTAGAGATGACCCTGTGACAGTCCACTGAATACAGACTGATAGTAATGAATGTTCACATTCACACACTGATAGCTAAAGTGTGTTCTGTGCTGTAACATTGAGGGGTTGGTCTTAATGGAAGTCTAATGCTTGAATTTAGCCATTTTCCTTGAGCTTCTTGGAATGCCAAATTCTTTTCCAGAAAGAGCTGACTTCAATTTCACTGCAAAATATTAAAAAAGACCAGACCTGACCTCAGTTAAATTGAAAGGAAAACAAGAAAGTCCTGCCAGAGTTGTCAACACAATGTGACAGCATATAACACAGCAGATGACAGGGGTCAATTTAAAAAATGTATTAGAGAGAATTTAAAGAGTATAGAGGAATTTATTTTCATGTTTTTCATATTTCTAATAGCTGATGTGTGGTGAGTGTTCTGGCGCACTATGGCTGCCGTCGCATCATACAGGTGGATGCTGCACAGTGGTGGTGGTGGAGGGGAGTCCCCATTACCTGTAAACTGCTTTGAGTGGAGTGTCCAGAAAAGCACTATATAAGTGTAAGCAATTATTATTATTATTATTTTTATATGTACATGTACATTGGAATTCTTATTTAAGCTGATCTCTCAGGAGAACACAGTACAACAGACAACACCACACAATGTAGACAGTAAATTTGTAAACATAGTAAATAATAACAAAAGGAACAATAAATATGTTGTAGTGGTAGTGAAAAAAAGGGCAGAGTGCAGATGTGTATTGAGTCTGAGGCATTGCAGTTACAGTAGCTGTTCAGGATGCGTACTGCAGTAGGACAGAAGCTGTTCTAAAGTCTTGTGGTCTGTGCTTTAATAGTGCGGTACCACTTGCCAAGGGTAGGGGGAAGAACAGTTTGTGGTTGGGAAATTTGGAATCCTGAATGATGGATTGGGCTGTATTGTGACAGCAGGTGTGTGAATCTCACCAATTGATGGTAACTCACATCCTATAATCCCCTGTGCCATTGCCACAACCCTTTGTAATGCATAACTGTCATGCATTGTAGTATTGCTGTACCTCACAGTGATGCCACTAGTGAGGACACTTTCTATGGTGCTATGGTAAAAGTTCATGAGGAGCTGCTTCCCCATACTGCATTTCTTTAAGCAACACAGAAAGTGCAGATGCTGTTGTACCTTTTTCATACTGGCTATAGTGTTGTGAGTCCAAGCCAGGTCAGTGGAGAGCTGCAGGCAGAGGAACCTGAAGCAGCTGACAGTTTCAACTGTAGTGCCATCGATGCTGATTGGAGTGTGACTCCCTCTGGGTCTCCTGGCCCACAATGAATTATTTTGTCTAGTTGACATTCAAGGTCAGATTGTTGTCAAGGCACATCTTGTAAGATGCTCTACCTCACTCCTGTATGCAGACTCATTGTTGTTGTTAATCACCCCAATAATAGTGATGCCATCTGCAAACTTAATAATGTCCAGACTGTAGAGACATAGGTGAACAAGGAGTACAGCCTATGACTCAGACAGCAGCCTTGGGGAGCTCCAGTGTTTAGGAGATAGAGATATCACTAGAAGAGATATTGTTGCAAATTTTCACCACCTAAGGTCTGCCCGTCAGGAAATCCAGTATCCAGTTGCAGACAGACTTGCATAAGCCCAGATTCCAGTTTTGGGACCAGCTTGGTGGGACAATTATGTTGAAAGCTGACCTGTAATCTATAAACAGCAGCTAACATAGGTGCCCAGTCTGTCTAAATGTTCTAGGGCAGTATGTAGTGCTAGAGATATGGCATCATCATTTGACCTACAGTACTCGGGCAGTAAGCAAACTGAAGTGGGTCAAGGCAGTCTGGGATAGTGCAATTTATATATGACAATACTAGGCTTTTCAGGCACTTCATGTCCACTGTATCCAAAGAGAGTATCACTTCTTTGGCTGTGACACAGCTGTGGTTTTCACCATCTAGGCCAGCTGCTTTATAGGTTTTCACTCTCTTAAAGGCCCTAAATACCTCATGTTTAGATAACTGAAACACCAAGTCCCCTGGTTCACTGGGAACCTGGACAGTTGGCTCAGTGTTCTAAGCCTCAAAGCGTGAGTAAAGGTGTTCAGCTCATCTTGCAGAGAACAATCACTGGAGGAAATACCACTGTTGTTGCCTTTATAGTTTGCGATAGCCTACATACCTTGCCACATGTGAACATGTGTCACCCCCAGGATGTTTTTCTGATTTGTTCTTGTATTCCTGTTTTGCCAGTTTAATAGCTTTCTCCAAGTCGTACCTTGATTTTTTTATACAGTTCTCTGTAACCTGATTGAAAGGCGCCTGACCATGCTTTAAATTTGCTGTACATGTCTTTGTTCATCCAGGGCTTCTGATTAAGATATATAAGGTCTTCCTGGTAGGAACAGATCTGTCCATACAGTAGCTGATGTAGGATGTGACAACCTCTGCATACTCATTTAGATTACTGTAAGAATCTTTGAATACACATCAATCAATTATTTCATTATAAAAATAGGATGATCTGTTTTCTCACCTCTTAAAATGTATGTAGTATAACAGTATTGCTTTTTCCATGACAGATCATGATTGTTGTCAACGTGATTTTCAGAATTACAATAGTATTATATTAGTTAGTTTATGTTTTTAATTATATGTTAGTTTTATTTGAGAAACAATACTAATAGTTTATGTTTCAGGAATACAAAGAAAACAAAGAGCAGGTATGTGAACTCCAACCTCTCTTCCTCTTTTCTAATGTATCCAAACCCACAGCACCACTGACTCCTGAATATTATTGCAGAGCTGCAGGGTCCAGAGGGGGTTTCAGGAGCACTGATAGGTGTTGCTAAGCAGCTGGGCTCTCTGAAGTACAGAGTCTGGGAGAAGATGCTGGGGAATATTCAGTACAGTGAGTACTGGGGGGGGGGGCAGAATGACAAGGGGGAGGGATTTACAGGTTTTCACAGTACAGGAGTCAATCAGATAAAAACAGTGAGAGTGTGACTGTCTGTGTAAAGTCCTGGAGTAAAGTGACTGATCTCCTCCAATTATCTACAGATATCACTACATGGCCAGTTTGTCCTGATGATCCTTTCCTGACAGTGTGTCTGTAGTGTCCTGACTCTTTAGCTGCTGTCCTCATTAGTCACTGATTTGACTGTTCTCTACAGTGATGTGATTCCATGTCTCTTTTTTTAGATCCAGTCTCATTGACAGCAGGACAGAGGTGTCACGAACACGGACTGAAATCCGTGTCAGATCTTGTAGAAGACCCTATGCGATGCGGTAAGAGCTGGAGAAAACAGGAGGCGTGGTAAAAAGGAACACACAGGGGTTTAATAGTGCACAAAATAATAGTGACAGTCCGTGAGACAGTGTACGGGGAAGACAAAACGGCATCCAAATCCAAATGGGTCCAAGGGCAGGTCAAAGCACAGTCCGAGTCAACAAGAAATCCATCCTGGGACGCGACAAAGTTAAAATCCCCGGGAGGGGGGAACACACGGACAAACAAAACATGGAGGTCCAAGGGTGACGGAGCGAGATCCTCCAGACCCTGGGCTCAGGAAGCGGTAGGTGTCGGGGATGAGGCCTGTGCCCTCAGGAGACGGATGTAGGGTTTCATTACTACAAATTACAGAATATAAAATAGTGATTACAACACTAGATCACTATAGTCATCCTCCTTTGAAGTAACACAAATGTGAGGTACAACGCTTGATTATAAACATGAAGCCCTTCTCGAATTCACCTTGCTTATTTCAATATGATACATTTCATGGTTTGTCAAATAAATACTTGACACACTTGATAGGTTCAGATGCAATAAAATAAAAGACTATAATTTTTTAAATCCTTATTGAATTCCACTTTGGATTGTTAAATGTTTACACTCAGATAAGATTAGTACCTCTTGTGTTCCTGTTTGTACAGCTCTCATCTCCACTGACCTTTCCCAGAAATACTGTTTCATGTCATTTTTATGGATTCAGTTATATGGAAGTTACACTTTGCACAAAATGTAAATGTATTTATTAATTATTTAACAAATTGAGCAAGTTAGGGATTTCTGTTATTTGTATTTCTTATCAGCTCCTGTGACTCTGGACCCCAACACAGCAGGACCCCGACTCTCACTGTCTGAGGATCTGACCAGTGTGACATACACGGCTCAGAGACAGCAGCTTCCTAACAACCCAGAGAGGTTTGATCCCTGGCAGTGTGTGCTGGGGTCTGAGGGATTCACCTCAGGGAAACACTGCTGGGATGTTGAGGTGGGAGACAGCATTTATTGGATTTTGAGTGTGGCCAAAAAGTCCATTAACAGGAAGGGATCAATCACTCTGATCCCAGAAGGAGGGCTGTGGGCTATAGGTTTATGGAAAGATGTTTACAGTGCACTGACCTCACCAAGGAGATGACTAACTCTGAACAGGAAACTCCAGAAGATCAAAGTGCAGCTGGACTATAACAGGGGGGAGGTGTCATTCTCTGACCACAGTGATGAGATTCCCATTTATGCTTTTAGAAACACATTTACTGAGAGGATATTTCCATTCTTCTTGTCTTTTCCTCTGTGAATATGCACTGTGAAAGTGTCCATAGCAGCTGAAAATAGCACGGTATGTTGACCAGAGCAGGAATGGTGTGAAAAACCCTCCTAAAAGGATCATCAGTATGTTCATTGTATATTTAAACATAGATGTACAGTACTATAGATAAAATCTGGCAACATGTTGAAAATGCTTCTATCACTGATAAAAGCCATATACAACTCTTGGATTTTTGTCAGGGTCTGATTGAAAGACTTTGAACCTTCACACTCATGGAATCATATATGAAGAGAACTGAAGACAGGTGAATGGAAATAAGATCTAGTAACTGTACAAGACACATGAGTCCATATGGCACTGACTTCAGGATATCTGGGATAATATCTAGTATGTCCGAAAGGTCTCATGTTAATTGTTATATTATTACTCTGGAAAATTGTTTTATTAAGTCTGTAGCAATAAACATGGTTTCCTAACTATTCTGATTTGCTCATATGTCCTGTATTCTGAAAAGCCATATGGAAGTCTCTACCTTTCCAGGCATTGTGTTTTTACAGATCTGGAAAATGACTGTTATTGCTCCACTTTGTAAAAGATTGTCTGAGCTTTGCTATAGAAAGTCATCATTATTTTTCTGTACTGCTGCAGCTGAGATGACCATGTTTTATAATGTATTAAACATTAAATGTGTTGCAACAGGGGATCTAAGCAAAAATATCTGACCACAGAAAAACATAATATTTACATGTTGACAGCGAATGTCTGGGCTTTCAAAATTCTGAAGCAAGATACTGTATTCATTCCTAACAAGTTTCACTTTTCACTATAAGTATTACAGTCAGTCTTGCATTGTGTGTCTGTGGTCTTTGGAACTAAAACTCCAGAGTCACCCTGCAGTTCTCCACAGCGCCAGGTCATCTCTTATCAGAAGAGAATAAGCTATTGTACTACGGCCAGCAGCCATATCACCCTGCAAGTCGCAACTGGCAACCCACTGAAGCTAAGCAGGTGTGTGCCTGGTCAGTACCTGGATGGGAGACCTTCTGGGGAAAACTAAGGTTGCCACTGGTAGTGGTGTTAATGGGGCCAACATGGGGTGGTCTATGTGGGTGATGGGGACACTATTGTAAAAAGTAGGGGTGTAACCCCAGTGTTCTGGCCAAATTTCCCATTGGCCCTTATTGGCTTCATCACTCTGTTCTCCTTTCTACTAATGTGCTGATGTGTGGTGAGCATTCTGGAGCACTTTGGCTGCCATTGCATCCATACAGGTGGATGCTGCGTGGTGGTGGTGGTGAAGGGTAGTCCCCATTACCTGTAAAGTGCTTTGTGTGGAGTGTCCAGAAAAGTGCCATCTACAGTAAGTGTAAGCAATTATTAATTACTATTATTACTAACCACAAAATGAGTAGACCGTAAGATGGGCCAGAGAGCCTGTTTTCACATGTAATCATTTTTGGTTTAGTAACAGCAACAAATAGAACTTTAGTAAATATACTGCATTTAAATGTCATGAAACAAAACTTAAAAGAAATGGAATGGGACTTACAGTTTTTTGAAGTTGCAACAATAATTTTGGATAAAAACAGGACAAGTGATCCAGCATACTTACATTTATGGAAGACTTAAAAAAATTCTTCATGAAAGATTAATTCTCAAAATACATACTGTATGACAAGCATTCAAAGAAATACAGACTGTATACGTGGGCGGACAATATATGATGGAAAGAAATCGCTCACTATGGGTAAAGGGGGAATGCTCACATTAGGTTGAGGTGATTAACAAAATACCATACTGTACTGTACTGTATGTATCAGTGCTCTTCTTAAAGTGCAGTATATACACTATATACTGTACCATATAATCTGAATTCTGGTATAGTTAGTAAACTAGTCTTGTTTGCAAATGATACCAAACACCATAAGAAATTTAAAAAAGTATCATGTACAGTAGATAAATGTTGGTACCTAGGAGATTAAAACAAATGTGTACAATTGAAGGGTATTGTATATACAGTAAGAAGGGGCATAGCAGTGGAGTAGTGGTTAATGTTAAGCATTGCTATCTTGAAGCTCTGGGGTCCTGGGTTCAATTCCATATAGGGTTAATATTTGTGAGGAGTTTGTACCGTGTGTTCTTTCTGTATTCAGATGGGCTTCCTCTGGGTGCTCTGGTTTCCTCCCATGGTAAAAAAAAATACTGGTGATAAATTGGCTTCTGGGAAAATTTGACCCAGTGAGAGTGTGTGTGTGTGTGTCTGTGTGTGGCCTGTGATGGACTGACATCCCCTCAGGGTGTACCCTGCCATAGATGTGTTGCTTGCAAAAATAGGTTCTGACTCCATGACCCTGAAATGGAAAAAAAATGGTTAGAAAATGGATGGATGTATACAGGTAGGAAAAACAAAAATCAGGAACATGCTAAACATTGTGCATGAATAAGTTTAATAAGAAAATAATATACTGTACAGTAGGTATCGTATCTATTTTGAGACAAATGTCTAAAAAAACTCTCACAAACTTTTATTGTTGGAAAAAACAGCAAAGATAATGAAAATGTGGGCTATGTCTTTGCAATGTTTTTTACAATACACAACATATGGAGAAATGAAAAGTATTCCATTCCTTTGCTGTCATTTGTGCTTATGTACAAACTGTGGACGACACTTCCAGTGATTGATTAGTGCCTAACTAAATATGGGTAGACACCCTAATCTATGTAACCTATAATAGTACACTAGATATACTGTACAATAACTGGGTGTGCAGGATCGTCAGCTACCTACTGTATGTTAACTATACTAAAGTTAGAGGATACAAAACATATATGTACAACTTACATCATAAAACTGCACAATAGAATGGGTAAATGCATACAGTACATGTAATGAAGCTATATTGTGATCTGTATCACTACATTATCCATATACAGCATGATTGAACTGTTTCAGAATCAAAACATACATTATATCTGTACTCTGTGCTCTTTGTAATTAATGAGAAGTGATTCACACACCCCACCTAGGTGGCAGTATTGACCTGACTTCCGTGTAGTGCGTATTTAGGACCCTGTGCAGACAGTATAATCTGGAAGTGACTGGAAAAGGGCTACCGAGAAAACACGGAGAGGAACAGATGGGAGAACTGACAGGGGGCGGTGCCGACAGTGATCCAGGTGCATGGGGGAGCGCAGGCGAACAAGTCCAGTGGGAGTCCAAAAGGGAAAAACAAGGCACAATTCAAGGTCCAGGTAGCCGGGAGATCAATCCACAACGAAGACAGGGAAAAGGGATCCAGGAACATGGAAAATAAATCCATAACAGAACAAGGTGCGCCGAGACCCAGACTCAGATGGTCAGGACGCCCGGGGAAAAGGCCTTGCCCTTGGGCTTCTCCTGAGCCCGGTGGATAGGCAGGCCTTCAGACGTCCGTCTTCCAATACTGAGCCCAGAGCTTAGGAGGCACATAACTTATATAGTGATGAGTTAAACAGGAGACAGGTGCACGTAATAATGAAACTAATAATAAAAGGTCGAAGTGCCTTCTAGAGGAGGGATGACGACCGTGACAGGTAGTATGTGTGTTGTAAGAACACTAAAATACTCCAGGTATTACAGAAGTGGATGAGTTCTGTTCTTCTTCCTCACATATTGAATGATATATATAGTAGTACATCAAACCAATTTTAAGAAGCTATGTTTGCATACTATATATCTGTATGTTTTGAATGGATATGTGCTCAGAGCTGATATTCTGACTTTATACATCAAAGATCCGCAGATAAATAAGGAGAATCAAAATGTGTCAGATGGGCCTCCTGTCATTTCAAACCAGTCAGGTGATCTATTGTTTTGATTTTAAATGTTCTTCACGGACCCAGGCAACATGTTTATTTCAGACCAGGAATTAACATGGGTTTTGTGGTATATACTGCATCTTGACTTATGATGTCTCTCATTTTGTACAGCAACCAAAACAAAGCACAGTATTCCAAATATTCTAAATATTCAAAGTAGAGCAGGATTTAAATACTACTTTCCTTGACTGAAAAATTCAACTCTTTTTTTTATTATTTTATTATTGCATTTCAGATCTCTCAGACTTAGGGTTGTATCCTAGGGTTCACTCAGGACCAGCACTTTGCTTAGGCAAGCTAGGCGATTGCCTAGGGCCCCAAGGCCACTAGGGCACCGCCATCAAAGTGCAACACAGCATATTTTTCTCTAATCAGCACATTCAGATGTGAGCCTAAAATTCCCTCCAGTAGCTCTTTCTTTTGCTGCTGTGATAAACTAGGTTGTTAATTTTTTTTAGTTATAAATTATAATAGTATTACCTAACAATGTAAATGTTGTGGTTTTTGTGGTTTATTTCACTGTCAATGTAGTATATCTAATCTTCACCAGTTTCAACTGCTGCTACACTGAATGCTGTTTGTTTAATTTCAGAAAGTAAAAGTAATAAATGCACCTTGCTCATCGTTGGAATTTGATCACGCTCACTACTCTAGCACTGACTCAATCACCTTCCTCCAGTCTGACCCTCACACTACTCAAACCTACCAACTCACTCTTATTTCTCCAGTCTGACGGATACACTACTCACAGATGCAGATGTCTCATCCTCCCAACTCCAGGCTGTGTCTACAATAGTATTAGATGATAATGTAAGTGTTGTGGTTTATTTCACTGTCGATGTAGTAAATGACTCATCTTCGCCAGTTTCAACCGCTGCTACACTGAATGCTGTTCATTTAATTTCAGAAAGTAAAAGTAGTAAATGCACCTTGCTCCTCATTGGAATTCGATCACCCTCACTACTCTAGCAGTCACTGACTCACTCATGTTCCTCCAGTCTGCTTTGCACTACACATTAGGAGAGTGCCTCACTCGACTCTGCTTTAATACTCTTTCGC